TTACCAGTAATAATATTGTTAATAGTTTGTTCTAAAGGTGTTTCTATATTTTGGGAAAAATTATCGGAAGAGAGTTTATTTTTTTTGGTTGTTCAGTCTGTTTAATAAGTAAAGGTTGTTGGCTAGAGCTAGGAGAAGTATTGTTGTTCGTGTTGTTTTATTTCTTTTATTATTCGGAAAAGTTTGAAAGTTTTTATTAGCGTTTCTATTTTTCGTTTGTCTAGTTATTGGCATTTTTGTTATTTTTAAATTTAAAATCAAAGATGTTTTTTATTAAAAATGTTTTTTTTTTAAAATTAAAGATGTTTTTAAAAAAAAATAGACAAAAAAAAATTTTTTTTAATATTTTATTTCGTTTAATTTGATTGGTTGACTTGAATTTTATCAGGTCGTATTATAAGCTTAACCTGACCTGATGTTGACCTGAAAATTTGTTTACCTGACCTGGATTTTTCAGATTAGGTAGGATCAGGTCACAGGTTAATCTGACCTAATTTAAAGCTTTAAATATAATACTATAATTTAATCAAATTAATAATAAATGGTTTATTTATTTAAATATAAAATAAAATATAAATAAAATATTAATATAATATTTAATACAATATAATAAATAATAAACTAAAAATTCAAAAATAAATTCACTATAATAAATATATCGAATTTATTTTCTTCTTCAATGTTATTATCTTAATTTTCAGCTTCAGTAGCTGCTGCTAAAAAGTTAGTAACTACTAGAATATTTTAATCTATTGTTACCCAACTAATGATTAAATGGACTGAAACACGTAATTAATTGAGTAGCAGTAAGATTTAGCTCAATTTTTATGAAGTTTTGGGAGAAACTTTGGTTAATTCAGATTATTGTTGACTTATTCTTTCACAATTAAGTTTCAGAATTGGCAAGTATGATGACTTCCAATTCATCATGTAAAACAAGTAATTTCCTTTAATGTAGGAAATTTTCAGTTGACGTTACAAAGTTTATTTGTAATCAAGTTGATAGCATAAATGAGTTGATAACGTTTAAGTAATTTAAAAATTACTTAAACCTGGATGATACAGAGTAGGGTTGATAACATTAAGTAATTTACAATTACTTAACCAAGGTTTTCATAAAGCAAGTTAATAATGTTAAGTAATCTAATATTATTTAATCAGGGTTGATATAAAGCAGGTTGATAACATTAGGTAATCCAATATTATTTAACCAAGGTTGACATAAAGCAGATTCGACACAAAGCAATTTGTTTGTTATGAGACAATTTAGTAAAGTGTTTTTATTATCTTATAAAATTAACTTCTTAAATTTCTGTCAATACATGATGAAAAACTCAGCTTATTTATAATAAAATTTCTATACTAAATTACTATCTATTGCATAAAAACTATGTAATGATTTCCTCATCTTTTTCTATGTAATTCTGCTATAATAATTGAGTAATGACTACCTAATCACTATGCAATAGTCATATAACTATAATATATATAGTATATATTTGAAGAGATATAAAGAATATAATTATATTGTTCTTAAATTATTACTACATCTTTATATTTAGCCTTTTAACTAGTTTCTCCTTGAAGTTCCTATTTGGAGTCTCTAGTTTAGAAGGTTATATGTGTCATCATGGGCTAATGATCTATTACTTTATTTCTTTATTAACTGATCTGGTTAATTTCACAGATCACTTTTGCAGATCATTACGTCATTGATTTTGTAGATTAATTCACATGATGATCATTTATAGATCACTTTTACTATGTCACTTTTTCTAATTCTTGAAGATCATTTGTGTTATACTATAAACATTCATTCAAAAGCATTTCAAGAATGCTGAATATATATCATAAAATCAGTGCTATAATTTTGAGTTCTTATTAATTATGTAGTTTGAAGTGAGAATATATGGCAATTGACTTCTCGCAATAACGCCTTCAACTAATAAAATTAAATATCAGAATTAATTAAAATTTTAACAAAAATTATAAATAAATTTCTAAAAAAGTATTAAACCTCGTTTAATCTTCAGCTTGGATTATAAACATTAATTGTTCGTAGTATTTTGCAAAAAAATCTGAGTCAATCTGAATCTGATCCAGATTTGACAGATCAGATTGAATTGGATTTATCAGATTTGAATCAGATTCAGATTCAGATTTTGATTTAATTCAATCTGTCAGATCTGGATCAAATTCAGATTTGGATTTGATTCAATTTGATGGATTCAGATTTGGATTCAAATCTGATTTGTTGTATTTAAAATAAAGAATACCATCCTGAAAGTCAGATGCAACATTTATTAATAAAAATTAATTTTTTATTAATTTTTAATAACAAAATACTGTTCTGAAAGTCAGATGCAGCATTTATTATTAAAAAATTTAATTTTTAATAATTTTATATATTAAAATGTTACCCCAAAAGTCAGACACATTTATTATTAATAAAATTAATTTTAATAATAAAATGCCACCCCAAAAGTCAGATGCGACTATACATGAAGTCAAAATAGATCATTTCGGATATCCAAAATGGTCGAAATGGTCGAAATGATTTTGACCATTGGAGGCTAAAGTCGTGAAATAGTCGAAATGACATCATATCACATGATTTTTTATATAAAAAACAAAAAAAACAAAAGATGTATGATTTTGGTCAATATCGCTCCGATTCATATAAAACAACTACCATTCGATTACTCAAAACTAGGCGGATCCAATGAGCTAACATTCATTGATTTAGATCATCCAATCACGAGATACTCGCAATTGTATTATCGGCTGAAATTATAAATCCATAAATTCTACTTTAAATAAAGGAGTCCGGATTTCGAAATACAATCGCAAATATCTCAAGATGGGATGATCCAAAATCAATGAATGTTACAGACCCTCGCCAAAAGTCTCCAAACACTTTTTGGCTTAATATAAAACTTAAAATTTTTAAATTTTATTAAAAAACATTTATTAATATATTTATTAAAGTACAATATGCTACACATTTGGTACAAAATAATTAGAATTTGGTCAGGCCTCCATTTGCTTCAATCTCAGCCCTAATTCTCTGCAGCATACTATCGATCAAATTTTCGATAGTTTGTATCAGAATTTGTTTCCAAACCCTTATAACATGTCGATCGAGTTGAGCAAGGTTGGAAGGCAAATTTTTTCTTTTTCGAATGCTTTTCTTGACTTCGGCCTATAGATTCTCAATAGTGTTGAGATCTGGATTTTGAGCGGGCCATAGAAGTATGCACAGACTATTTTCCGCATGAAACTTCTTTGCAAGTTTCATTTTGTGAGGGCGAGCATTATCCTCTTGGAATACACCATCACAGTTTGGAAATGCACGTCTCATAGTTGGCATGACACGCTTGCGAAGAATAGTGATATGTATAGCACCAGTGACTGTTCCAGATAATGGAACAATTGGTCCTAAGCTTTGTCTCGAAAAATACCCCCAAAACATTCGGCTAGAGCTATGTTTCACTGTGACAGAAACACAAGAAATGTTCCATTTTTCATGAGGTTCACGCCATACTCGACTATAACAGCTTTGTTGGAATTGTGAAAAGGTAGATTCGTCACTTCACATGACCTTCGACCAATCGTCCTTTGTCCAACTTTGGTATTCCAAATACCATGCAAGACGTACTTTAATATTTGCTGGTGTGATTAAAGGCTTTCGTCATGCAAAACAATTGTTTAACTCAACTATACAAAGACTTCAACCAATTGTGCGAGTTGAAACATCTTGGCTGGTCTTTTTTTGTCAGAGTTGTTAAACTTCTGCAGTGCATAAGCGACAATTTTTTTCTTTATCGTTAGTGATAATTCGCTTAAGCTGACTTCGCTTTGAATCTTTAATTAAGGGTGGTTGATCAGAATGAGGCTTCGAATTAATGGTTCTGATATCATCCATTCTTTTTAAAGTATCTAAAACTGTTGACTTTTCACAACCGATAGTCACGGCAATAGTTTAGTAACTATCATCGTGTTGATGGCAAAAAATTATACCACCGCATTGTTCTGTTGTTAATTCTTTGGACATTTTATTTGTTTTCAGAAGATAAAATTTATTTTTATTATAAATCAGAATAAACAAACCAAATACGACTTTATTTAGTTTATTCAAGTAAACAAGGTTCGGAACATTACATAAACGCAGTATTATACAGTCACATGATGTAATTGGTATGAAATACCCTCCAAAAGATGGTGTTCGAAGACTTTTGGCAGGGTCTGTAAATCATTGGATTCATCTAGTCATGAGAAATTGAATGGTAGTTATTTCATACAAATCGAAGTGATATTGACCGAGATCGTATGGTGCATAACATCTATACTCATCAAACAATTTAGTATAATTTCCAATTTTAACTAATTCTCTAATTGGTATAATTTTTAAAAATTAAACTGATAAAGTAATAGATTAAGCCATGCTCTTTTAATCTATCGGTTTATATTTTTGATAGCATGATTTTTGGTTAAATTATTAATGTACAAAAGTATAAAGGTTTATTAATAAACGTCTCTAATTCAGAATGATCTAAAATTAACTAACCAATAAACGTTATTTATTTCACGTGAAAAATCATGTGATTTGATAAATCTGCAATAAAAAAAAATCTGCAATCGAAAAAAATAAATTCAATGTATCCTTAAGTATGCCACGAATAAAGAAAAAAAAACTTTACAAACAACAGCTTCGAATGTCAGATGGTAAATTTGGATCTAAAAAACTAATAATTAATGATGATTTGGAACAGGGTAATAATGATGATGATAGTAAATGGGATGTTGCTGGTGAAGGATGAAGCGATGATGATGATAGTGGATGGGAGGATGAGATTAATTTAGAAAAAGAAAAAGAAATTCAATCAAAACTAATGATATTAGGGTTAGGTAATTATTATTTTTTATTTAATTTTTAACAATTTAATATTTTTTATTATTACATATTTAACTTTTTCTTATCTTTTAGAATGGAATGTAAATAACAAATTTGAAAAAAAAAAAGAGGGACATATAAGACTAGTATAATACCAAAGTCAACATATTACGATAAGTGGGGACCCAATGATTTATTTACTAAATCGGCAATTGGTACTTCGAAAATTACAGATTTTTTTAATTCAATTGATATTTCAGATCATAATGATAAAGATGAAGATGAAATGTATAGTGAATCAGAGGAAGAAAGTTGGTATGAAGTAAATAAAATTGGTATAAAATTAGAAATATTAAAAAAAGAATTAGAAAATCAGCATAATGAAATAGTGGCTAATGAATATAATAAAAAAGAGCAGTTTTTGAGTATTTAAGGCAATTAAATAAAAATGGTGGTGATAAATTGAAAGCGAGTTTAAATGCTGCGCAAATGATTTTTTTAATGGTGGAATTTGGAAAGCTCGACAAATACGATATTGGGCTAGTTATTGGCTTATTAATAATATACTTCCTATATCACGCATCAAAAAACCATTCGGCTAATTGATGATGAGGATATCGCTGAAAAATGTCACTTTTGGATCCACAATCAAAACTTTAAGAATACATCAGCTACATTTAAAAATTCATTGAAAATGAATTATTTCCTAGCATTGGAATTGCTAAAGAAAAATCTATTTCTTTAATGATTGTAACAAAATGTAAGTAAAGACTAAAAAATTTTAATTTTAATTTGATTTTTAATATTTTACATAATATTAATAATTGTATTTATTTATATATTTAAATAAAGGGCTAAAGGTTCTTGATTATTCATTTCAGCAATATTGTTACAGATATATTATGACAGGCATGAAAGAGAAGATGTTTTGCAATATCGAGAAGAATTTTTAGAAAAAATATTTGAACATGAAAAATATATGTCTAAATATGAAGGTGAATCTATGGATCGAATACATCCTGACTTACCTGAAGGAGAAAAAGAAAGAATTCTTGTAGTTCATAATGAATGTATTTTTTATTCAAATGATAGAAAATGTGGATTGTGGACTAAAAATAGTGAAATGCTATTACGAAAAAAAAAATGGAAGGTCAATCATGGTCAGCGAATTTTTAACTGAGATTAATAGACGTTTACGTTTACAATAAGCTGATATAGAAAACCATCCTCATATACCTGAAGAAGCACGATGTTACTTAAAACTAGTATAAATCAAGAGGGTTATTGGACAGCAGAACACCTTCTTGAATAAATTGAATATAAAGCAATTTCTATTTTTGAAGTTTTATATCCAAACTGTGTAGCTGTATTTGCTTTTGATAATAGCTCTAATCATGCTGCATTTAGCAAAGATGCTTTAATTGCAAGTAAAATGAATTTGAATCCAGAAAGAAAACAACCGATTATGCGAAATACTTACTTTAGGCCAAACAATCAATTACAATCAATGGTTTTTCTAGTAACATATCATGATGAAAAACTCTGTGATAGACCTAAAGGAATTAAACAGGTATTAATAGAATGTGAAAAATGGCCACTTGGAGGATTAGTATTAGAATGCAATAAATGTAAAGAGAAAGACCAAGACATTTCAAGAACTTCCTGTTATGCACATCGAGTAATATCCTTGGAGCCCGATTTTCTTGCTTAAAAAGGTACTATTAAGGAATTAATTGAAAATGCAGGACATAAGTGTATCTTTTTTCCTAAATTTCACTGTGAATTAAACTTTATTGAAAGATACTGGGGTGCTGCCAAAAAATATTCACGGGAAAATTGTGATTATTCATGGGAAGGATTGCAAAAAATAGTCACTGAAAGTCTTGACTCTGTAACTTTAACAACTATTATGAAGTTTTCAAGAAAATGTTGGCGTTATATGGATCTTTATAGGAATGGTATTAAAGGAAAATTGATAGAGTATACGGTAAAGAAATACAAATCTCACAGAAGAATTCCAGATGGAATCTTAGAGGAGTTAAATAAATTAGATAAATAAGTTTTTCTGTTTCGGTTATTGTCTTTTTTTTAATAAAATTGGATATTTATCCAATCAAATTTATTACACGTGATATGTAACGTAAAATTTAGCATTGTTAAATTTTGGACTCGTCTAAATTTGTTGATGAGTATAGGTATTATACACCATATCCATTTTGATATACCTAAAAATAGACAATGCATTGGGTCGACCGTTAAAAATCAAATTGGGTCAAAGTATGATAATTGAAGTAATTCAGACCATCCAACGTCAGTATTCTTTACGAATTGCACCTTTGCCAGCTAAGTGCATCCTCTCGATGTTGTAATAAATCCTGAGGAGTAAACCATTCGTTCATGTTAATCATTCCAGCAAAATTATGTTGCCAATTTTCATAATTTGCCTTCTTTTCGCACCTATGACACCAATGCTGAAATATGACTGCAAATTTTTCTTGCTGCGGGAATATTGCATGAAATAAGGATTAATGCTGCGCAAATTCTCCTTCCTTCTTGACATTCGTATGTTTGATTTAGAGTCACACTATTCTAAAGTAACTCTAATTCGTCAATAATTGGTGTTAAATAATGGTTTATCTTGATCTTGTGTAAATTTACTTCATTTGGGCCAGGCAAAACTCCAAAATTAGTAAATTTTCACGCTTGAATCGAATGTCTCTTGGAAGATTACAAATTGTGGTATATAATATACCAGTACTATGGATTGTTCTTGAAACCAATCCAAATTCATCATTAATCCCAGATGTGAATCAGCTACATCAGGTCTGAAAATTTTCATTGAAATTTCTGAATCATTTTCTTTAAATGTCTTTCAAACTTGTCCATTATATATGTCAGCCAATATGTTATCAAAACTTTTTCTATCAGCCCAATGACATAGATAATTTTTGAACCTTGTCAACGAAATATAACACTAAGTTGTTCTCGAATGCTGGCAAATGGATGAATTAATTTTGGTTGAAAAAAATTTGAATTATTTATTTTATGAGACAATGGTATATTACAAGGCTGTAACCTACGAATTGATGAATTCAGAAATTTAATGTGATTGCATGTCATAATCGATAAAGTATCATTCTGTCGAAAGTTCATCACTTCATCTCTGTTGTAAAGTTTATGACATTTCATACAAGATACGAAACTATGAAATCGGTCTTTGAGGCCAAGCGATTTCTTTGCTAAATAAAGAGTACTTGGAAATCTGTTAAACTTATCACCACCGATTTCAGTTAGAACTAATTTCATAAATTTTATTAGAGAATCTGTTGCAGTCTCAGGTATATTAAATCTAATTCAAAAGTTCATTATCTATAATAAAATCCATGCAAATTGATCATCAATTGTTATTTTCTCTTCTTTATCTTGATATAGTTCATATTTCAGCGTCGAATAATCTTCAAAAGTTTCAGAAATATATAAATCATCCAATTCACTTTCGTCTTCACTCATAGGAGATTCGATATGTTGTTTTTCGTTATGTTCATAATTTCGCTTTAAGAAGGCTCAGTATGTTATTCATCTTCAGAATCACTCAAATTGTCAATAACTTGCAGATGACTTATATACCTTCTTGTACGCCTTTGAGGTAAAATTCGATAACAATCAGTCATTTCGATTCTTGAAGCTTGTGATTCATCATCAATCATTTCACTCCTTGAAGCCTATAATTCAATTTCGGCAGGTGATCCAATATCAAGTATCAATTTGTCAAAATTCGAAAATAATTGTTCAATGGCAGAATCACCACGAATTGTTGATGAACCACTTGTCGATTGATAAAAAAGTTTAGTCTGATTTAGAACTAATTTTCTATTACACTTGTTACAATAACAAGGAACCTTGTTATCTTTTTTATTTGAGATAGACGTTTTATCAGCTTATTACCAATGATATTCGAAATAGACCTATTTCTTGTCATCTTGAAAATTTAAAATTGCTGTTTTTTGTCAATGTCAATGAACGATTTATATATA